GAAATTGTTCCTGCTGTCCGCCGCGGATCTGGTGCCCATCTATGGCTATACAATAACCTATCTAAATTTCATTCCATGAAAAATCTAGGGCTCGTCAAACAATTTGTCGGTCTTCGAATTCGACAACACCCCGACAAAATCATCATAGATCAACGCGCATACATCGATCATATGCTTCAAACATTCGACCTCACCGATACTCCTGCTAACTATACACTTCGTACTGGCACTCACCTCATCGAACTCACAGATGCACCACATTACACTGGCAAACTATAACGCAAACACTTAAAAGCTTTGGGTTTTGCCGCCAACCTTACACGAATCGACATTGTCGCCACTGTCAATCAGCTTGCTGCATTTGCCACACACCTCTGTACCACCGCCCATATTACACTACTGGAACGCATTCTAGCTTTTCTTCGACAAACACCCAACTACACACTTACACACAAACGTATCAACGACCAATCAGACAATCGATTCAGCACTCACTGCTTATACTGACTCTGATTGGGCAGGATGGCACGATTCTCGCCGATCTCAATCCGGTACGGTCATCTGCGCCAACGGCACACCTGTATATTGGAAAAGTGCGAAACAGAAAACTGTTGTACTTCAAGTGAAGCGGATTACGTTGCAGCATCCGAAACAGTTCGGAATATTGCATGGATTCGCAACATCATGTTCGCACTCGGCTGTCACCTTACACTTCCCACTATACTTCACGGTGACAACCAAAGCGCTATACGGGTGGCATTAGGTACTGGCACACCAAAAGGACTCAAACACATAGACATTCGACAACACTACATCAGAGATTGTGTTTGATCTAACATGATTGATCTCCTTTATATATCCACAAACGATAATTCGGCCGATCTCCTTACAAAAAGTCTTCCTCGCCCGAAACATGACTATTTTCACGACCTGCTAATGGATAACGTCCCTCCCACGTAGTCTCCCACGACTCCTTCCAGCTTCATGAAACGCATTACACCCCCTGCATTTTCACTCCATCTCACTCCTAGTTCCATGACACCGGTGACCATGAAATAACTACCCCCTCATTCTAGCCCACGACACCCTTTAAACTCCCTTGCATGGTAGTTTCAAGTAACGGTTGCTAACTCCGTCGAAACCCTGTTGTGTTCCAGGGAGGGTTTTAGGACTCAAAGTTCAACTAGGTTTAGAACCACTAACAGAGTTTATATATTGTTAAGCAGGTTTTCACAAAAACCTATTTTACCTAACAACGGACATCAAAAATATGTCTCTCGAATTAGTATATATATCCTACTCATGAGGACAATATATTGAGATATTAGACCTTTTTCCCATTTGGCTATGAGGGACATTTTCCAAAAATCGGGGGTTTGTCCCTACTAGTATGAAATAATGTAGTTTTGGGTCACTTTCGCTAAGATTTTGGCGGTCATATCAGATCCAATCAATACACATTTCCAAACAGATATTCTTGTGATTAGAAAAGTAAACAATTTGTCTTTATTGAACAGTGTATATATGCGTATATATATTATATGTGTTCTGCTATAGTATGTTCTGCTTAAATCTTCGCTTCGTAATATTGTCACAATATGGAGTACGAGATAACCTAGCGTATGTATACAAATCCATTTTCTATACATACACACCCACGTACGTATTGATTTAGACTATATGAATTACTCGAGCATTTATGAAACACGTGATGTGATGCGATGTATATGAATCACCATTTCAATTTGTTTTGGTATGTATGTCTGTATGTATGCGCGTATTTATGTATAAATGTGTGTACATGTGTGTGTCTGTGTGTATTATGAGTATATACGTATGTATATATGTATGTGTGTGTTTGTCGGTCTGTTCGTATATATGCATGTATACATGTATTCAGATATGTAAGTGTATACACGCATGTCTGTATCTATATAAGTAGTTAATTAAGTACGTATGTATATATTTCTGTAACGATATATGTATGTATATATGTATGTATGTATATTTGTTATATGTACGTATGTATGTGTATTTTTTGTATACATGTATTCTTGAGTATGTGTACACACGCATGTCTGTATCAATATATGTAGTTAAGTATGTATGTATGTATTTCTGTATCTTTATTAGTATGTAGGAATATTTGATTTAAGTACATGTGTATTGTTTACTATTTATATATGTATGTATGTATGTACATATGTTTATATATATATATACATATATATATATACATATATACATACATACA